TTAAAAAAAAACTTTTTTAATAGTAAGGGACATTTGAATTATGTCCTCGCCTTTAATTTAGGGACCCATCTTTAGTTTTGATTTGATTTGATTCTTAATTCTCTGGTTTATATTAAATTTATTATAAAAATTCTAATTAAAAATTCTAATGATTTGATTCAATTTGATTTTTAATTCTCGGATTTATATTAAATTTATTATATGGATTATAATTTATTATTATTTACTATATGGATTATAATTTACTATTATTTTTAATAGTGTTACAAATCTCATGTGAGTCTATTTGATTTCAATTTTCAAAACTATAGTTATAATTCATTATTATTTTTAATAGTATTTTAAATCTTACAGTATATAAATTTATATAAATTTGTTTAATTCCAATTTTTAAAATTATATCTGTAATAATCAAAAAATTCTTTTAAAACATTTACTAAGAAGTATTAGTAAAACCATAGATATTATAACTGCATAAACCAAAGATATAAAGTATAATGATTTAGCAAATTAGATGATTTAAACTGATGGCTGGATTTCCATCTAACACGTGGACCCACTTTTTCAATATACAGTAAGTCTGCATATGTTGGATTATATGCAATAGGCTATAATTAAAAAAAAAAATCGATCTACTGTTACTCAAAGTTTATGTGATCTTCACGTGATCGACTTTTAAATCTCGCGTCTCGCGTTTATTTGGACATACTACCTGAGAACCCTTAACCGTTTTGCGCTTTAGTTAAACCTCTTTAGTGAGGTAGGTTTTATTTTTTTTCTATTTACAACAGCTTTGTTAAGAACAAATGAAGCGTCTGCGATAGACTGTGATCTATCGGAAGCCAGTACTTGGCAAGTCATCGTCCAGGAGATGGCCGGCTGAATTTGAACTACAAAGTTGTTGGGTGTCTGTTGGATACACAAGGCGTCTGCGGTAGACTGCGATCTATCGGAAGCTATTATTTAGCAAGTCATCGTCCAGGAGGTGGCCGGCCGTTGTGTAAACAATAGCACACTTTCTCATTAATTGACTTCGCTTAAACAATTGACTCATCCATCTTTTTTGTAAATATTTCATACGTCGAGATGTCGAGTGTGAAAATTTCATCAGCGAAAATACTTAGGCAGTGTCACCTAGATTGGATGATCTCATGTAACAATCCAACCCCTTTAGAATTTTTTCGTTTTATTCAACCAACACATAAGTCCCGTGCATTTGAGAAGTACAGGAAGACTCTTGAGCAGGCTATCAGCTTTTGTAAGGACCCAAACAAACAGTTGAAATTAAGAAATCTAAGAGAAACTGTTAATGTATATAATCAAATATGTTCACTAAACATATTGTATCTCTAACATATACTTTCTTTATTTTAGTACAATTCAGATTGGGATTTGTGGCTATTAGAAAAAAAAGCGGTGCGTTCAATCATAAACTTCCAGCAAAGTTCGCAACTAACTATGATAGCTTTAACCTGATAGAGGTCAATTCGTGATGAAGTTCATGAAACCAATGTGGAGGTACACCGAGAATTAAACGTTCTTGTCAGAAATGGAGGAAAACAAAAGGTAACATTATTAATCTTCTGAATTAGTATTTATTATGAATATGTATTTAAGATTTTAATTTTTATTCTTCAGATTAATGAAAATGATAATAGTAGCAATAATAATAGCGTCAAAGATAAAAATAAGGAAGGTGCTAACAGTAATAATGATAGCATCGAAGATAAAATTGAGGAAGGTGGTAGTGGCGATAATCATAGCACCGACGATAAAAAAGAGGAATGTAGCGACGATGGTAATATGCACGGGGAGGAAGACAAGGTCCGAATCTCTTTTTTTCACATGGATCTATAAGAAAATATTAAATATTTTTATTTTTTTATAGATAATTGTACACGATATCCTTTATTGTGAAATATCAGCAACTCAGGCCGAACAAGATATTCTAAAAATATATCGTTCAAAATTTAATAATTGCCTTGTCATGGACCTCCGGTTACGTTCAGAATTATCCCTTTCATTAGACCAAAAATTACAAGAAGATATTTTACATGAAGTTTTCGACGAAATAGACAAAGACTATATAACAGATGAAATTCACAATTTCCTCACCGACTTCTTTAATGCCGATCACGGCAAACAAGGATGGTGCGAATCAGTTCGTAGAATAGCTTTTAGTGAAAATGATTCAGAGTTACTGCAATGCACAAAAGAATTGCTTAAAGGAACACTGGGGCGGTTGTAAGTAAGAAGTTTAGATGATTTTATTTACAGTCATAATAAATCATTAACACTAATAAACTATAAATATAGTGTTAAGGCCTTTTCCTTGGACGCACTGAATCCCTTGAGAGATGTTACAACTTTAGAAAGACCTCATCTGAACCAATTTATACATCCGCTAATTGATAATGCGTTGTGGATTTTTGCAAGTATTAATTACATGTCGTAAGTTGAAGCTGTCTTAATTCTCTCTTTTTTGATTTTCTTTGAATTAATCATTATTTTTTATTAGTGGTGAAATTTCTTTGCAAGGAAAAGCAAGAGCCATGGCAGATGGTGCCGGATACCTTAATGATTTTTCAAACTATCAAATTGTTTGTATGGAGGGAGCAAAACCAGGGGCACGAAATAAAAAAAATGTCGATGATGATAAAAAGAACATTAAAAGCATGATACAGCTGTTTAATAATATAATTGTATCAGAGGCTTCAGAGCGAAGACAAATATACACAGGTCTTCGAGTATATGGTGCCACCGCTTATAAAACCGAACTCTCCCTTACAATGCTGGATTTTCGTGGTATGTAAGATGAAATTTTATAATGTTATATATAACCTATGAATCTGCTAATTCAATTTTACTTGATCATCAGGAACATATCGTTTGTTTGAAGTGGACCGTTTTAATCTCCCAAAAGATTGGACAGACATGCCTAACTTCGTTTTTATGTATGAAGCTCTAATAAAGTGGGCGGTAAGTATATGTGCGAATTTATCATCCGTTTCAAAAATGTCACTAATGATTAGATAATTATTGATAATTATTATACAGATGTGTGTCCGTCGTACGAGAGAAAATTTGATTGCCCAGCGCAAAAAAAGAAGAATGGGAAGGTACTCAGAAGCAAGAATTGCCAAAAAACTCACGCGTCTAACATGATTTATTTATACAATGTATATTAATAAATAGTTCATACTGAAATGTTCTGAGAATTATTTGATTGATTTACAATAATACTGTTGAAAAAATTATAATAAACATATATATTATTCCTTGATATGGAATTTACAAAATTTAGTAATTTGTTCATACCAATCACTTGCCAAGAAATTTTTGTTAATAATGATCACTTTTACCAAGAAAAATTCTCGATCATATAAGAATGACCATCTAGGTCTGAATGTTTTATTAGAATAGTGTAAACGAGACGTATCAAGGTACAGGGTGTTTTAAAATTTTTTTAAAAAAATAATTATTTTTACTTTTTATTTTTTATTATTATTTTTTTTTAAGGGCTAAGTTGCAATACACGTATGGATTTTATTGTTAATCAATTTAGGATCACAACTATCTATACATGAACAGTTTATTAACTATTGCTAATATTAACTTCCGCTACTTGTCTTTTTTACCAAAATACCAACTTATATCAAGTAGGTGGGTCCATATCCTGGCTTTTATCGCTATGTGATAGTTCTATAACTATTCAAATAAGTATCTATCATGTCGTACCTCCACTGTGCACACCTGCATATGGTAATACTGTCTTTCGATGCAAGTATGCCCTTCCTAATGAATGCTCCGGTTGACTATTGGTTGGCACTGATTACCAAATCTAAGGGCCATTTTGGCCAAGTGGAATGTGACTCCTTAAGGGGTTTTCCCTTAAACTCCTAGTAGATACTTCAAATAGGTCAGTTGGCATAAGCTGCCAAATCTAGGGGTACAAATACCAAGCAGGGTGCAACTTCTGCATACTCTGTTTCGCTGCATGGGCATGCCTCAAGGATACAGGTGGTCTCAGCTTCGTGCACTAGCTTCAAGATCTTTTACTTCAGTAGTTGAGTCCTACCATCATAGAACCACTTATGGCAATCATTATGCTTCAACCAAATGATCGTCTTACCACGTCACCTTTTCTGGAGATCACAATCTCAATGCCTACTGGATCAGTGTGTGAAACGACTTTGCATAAGAAACAGCACATGACAGGTTATGATGCCAGATATCATATAGGTTCTATTCAATCGCCTTCACCTGGGATTGAACTGGTATCTTGTGATCTGACCTGTGGAGTGTTAACCACTACACTATAAACCCACAGGTTCTTATTTTTACTTTTTATTTAAAAATAGATTTTATAATTTTAATATAATTATTTTAATAAATATTTTTAATTATAATTAATTTCAAATAAATTTTATGAAATTTTTATGAAATTTATTTAAAAAAATTATTTTTCAATATAAATTTTTTTTTTGAACTAATGTAATTATTAATCAGACTTTATTGTTATAAGGAATTACTTATTATAGACATTTTATAATTTGCAAGGTTAATATACATATTTTTTTGCTAAAAAGAGTTTAATTCAAGATACAAAAATTAGTTATTCATTTTAGTTTTTACTAACTATTTAAGCAACAGAGAAAAAAAATATTAAAGCTTTAAACTTAATCTTAAATAATGTTTAACAAAGGGTTAAAAATGTTTACATTATATTTAAATATATAAAGGTGCTATAACAATATACAGTTTGTTTTCAAGTTATAATTGAAATTTGATATACTTGCTTTTCAAAATTGATTGATATATAACAGACAAAGTTAATGGAATATAAAAATCTAATACATATTATCATTTTAAAATTTTTTTTATTCATAAAACATTAACTGTATATTTTATTTACATTTGAGTAATATATAAATTATTCTATATACTTTTAATATTTTTCTTCTCTTAACTAAACTTTTATTACTCTTTTACTATTGATGATCTTGCCCAAAATGTTTTTTTTTATTTTTTATTTTTATTTTTTCATAACAGATAGTTTTTTGGATTTTTCTTGTTTAAAAGTTTTTTTCAATAATATATCTGTTCATAGTGACATATCAATATATAGTATAATATACTTCATTCTTTATTGATTTTGTATTATGGTTCCAAAAATTGGAATCAAACATAATTGCAGAGAATCGCAGGGAATTATATGAGGTTTAGAATACTATTAAAAATGATAGTGGAATATATCCTACCTATTAAATTTAATATAAACTTGAGAATTAAATATAGAATTGAAAAGAATTGTTAGGATTCTTATTCTATATACAATATATTATATTTATTATGTTTAATTAATAAAGAAGTGAGAAAGACTACACTTAGTATTTTTTTAAAAAAAGAATTTAATTAATTTAATTGGATAAATCAATAAAACAAAAATATATTAATACAATTATAAGCTAAATAATAAAAACTTTAAAATTACAAGTATATAAAATTTCAATATTAAAAAAAAAAGTAAAATATAAGTAAAAGAAAAAAAAAACAAGTTGGTAATCAATCCAATAATATATTTTAATAAAGATCTTTACTGAAAAGAATGAAAAAGCAAGTAAAATACAATAAAAACTTATAAACAATTGACTAAACCAAGAAAAAAATATAATTAATGATAATTTTTATTATTTATATAATAATAATACCAACAAAACCTTGGCATATTAATTTTAATTAGAGATTATAATTTTTAATAAAAATTAATTGATCTACAAATTAATTTCAATTCAGATTGATTTGATTTTTAAAATTTTTGATTTAATAAAATTCAGATCAGATCAGTTTTGGTTTAATTTTGATTTGAATCAAAACTAATTTGGATTTTTTCTATTTTATATTTAAATAAAAACAAAAAAAAATTTAAATTAAATTAAAATATATAATATAATAAATAAAATGATCAAGAAAATTTTATGACTTGATTTGTTTTATTTTTTTTTTTATGATGTAGTATTATAAATAAAAATTTTTTTAACAATTTTACTTTATTGTTTTTATAGTTTTTTTATATTTTAATAAGCTTGTTATATTTTGATATTTTTTTTATTCTAATAATTATTGTTTGATTTTTTTTTAATAATTTTTTTAAAATGAAACATAAAATTTTTTTTCTGATAATTTTCAATATATTAACAATAAAACTAATAGCTTAATTAGTCATTAAAATAAAAATATCAATAATATTATTACAAATAATTTGTTAGAAATAGTATTATTCTCTATAATAATAAATTAAATTAAAATATAAACCTATTTTACAAAAAATA